GGGGGGGGGGGGGAGGGGGGGGGGGGGGGGGGGGGGGGGGGGGGGGGGGGGGGGGGCCGGAATCCCGGAATCCCGGAATTCACTTCCCTCGGGCCTCGCAACTTCTTAATCCGGCCCTGGGGGAGAGTCTGAGCTTGCTGAATAATGGCTATTTAGTTCCCTTTGAATATAAACGGGAAGATCCCAGATACCAGCAAGGACGTCTTTTTCGGGTGGGGGGGGCAAAGGAGGTAATTATAAAAATTCCCTTGCGTCTTTAAACGATTTTTTAATAACTTCCTCTATTCCATGTAATGTTATAGCCTGAAAGTGAATAGCTAGCTCTCATGCGGCATGGTTTTTATACTGAGGATTTGAAGCCAATTGACCTAGTTTCATCTCTGTTTTTTACAAATGCCGAGAGAATCTTTCCCGCCACGAAGAGAGCGACAAAAAAACTGAGTTGTCTGCGATTGGTAAATCTCACGAGTATATAAAACGCTTTGACTAAACCACATAACTACAGTGAATCTGCTTGATGCCTCTTCGGCTTTCATTCGAGAGGTTTCCTGCTGCCGAGTACAACCATGAATGTAGTTTCATCTTGTTAAATCTTATTGCAGCCCAATTTACATTACAACGCGGGGAGGATTTCTGGCGCCGACTTAATTACGCGAAATCCTAATTTTTTCATTTCGTGAGTTTTGAACTTCGCGAATTGAACGATTAGCCGATTAGGTAAAAAAAAATTCACAAGCGATTTAATTTCGCTATTGACGGTGCTTCGTAAAGTTCGCGAAATTGAAATAGGCGATAACACTTCTCCCTAAACTTTTTTTTTCAGGTTGCTAAGCTTCTTCCCCCTCTTGCAGCTTCAAAAAATGACGTCCTTGGATGCCGGTCACCCAGCATCCGCCGCGAATTAATCGGGAGGGACATGAAACCGGGAGTGTTGGCAACCCTAATAGAGTGGAAATCACACCCTCTGTGTATGTTGGATTCGCCATGGTCAGAACTGCCCTCAGTCTCAGAATTGCCATGAGCCAACAATATGAGCACTATATGCACAATAATGAGAAACGTAGACTTCTCGGCCTCACGAGTACGATGGCACTTATACAGGACAGGACCACTTGAGGTTCACGTTGCCGTCTGCATAGCTAACGTAATAGGCCCTGCCTGCAAGGAGTAGTGTTTATCTCATTCGCCCGGACTGCTCTGTATCTCATGCTTGCTCCGGGCGTTCGCCCTCTCTTTTTTTTCCGTTTTCCTAACGTCTAACGTCATCTTGAAACAACAAGAGAACCAAGTGCACAGCTAACGAGGAAGGGAGAATCGGAAATCCTTCTTTTTCGGCCTCTCACGAGGACTATGGCGCTTTATACGACAAGGCAAGAACGCTTGGGGTTCACGTTGCCCGCTCCGTAGCTAATGCAGCAAAGGAATGCAACTGAAGCTGTACGTGAAGGAAGCAGCGATTGTTTCCTTCGAACATGCAGGTATCTGTATGTTCCGGGCGTTAGCCAGCTCTCTTTTTTTCTCCCCCTCTTACCCACACAGCACAGGGACTTCCCAGAGATGTCCCCTATTGACCAGTACCAATATCAGACCTGGGTGAAGTTCAGATACTGATGCCAAGCGCAACATTAAAAAGTGCACTTACTTGCACAAGTTTAAACCCCTTGGACCCCATTTCATTATTGGAGTAATTGGAACTTCCATTATTGGAACTTTTGTGTTCCATAGAATATCTGGAAAGCTTGGTGGGTTTGGTTCTCAATGTTGTTTTTCTTTTCCAACTGGTACGTTTAGGATTCAATGGATCCTGAGTGACGATTGAAAACAGCTTTCCTATTTTTATGCTTCCCACTTTTTATGCTTCCTATACCTGGTGGCTCAAAAAAGTCCCGAATTTTACACGCCTGCAGATCATATGAGTTATCGACAGGAAATTTACAGGCTTTTACATGCAATGTTTGCAGGTACTGCAAAAAAATGTAATTGAAATGGGTGGTAAACTACGTGAGTAACAATTTCTCTCCCTTGCGATGTCAAAAGAGCGAGTGTGCAAAGAAACGCGCCTGACCTCAATGAAAGAAATGTTTGATGTGTCTGTCCTCTGACAATCGCCCGCAGAAGCAGCACACCAGTAAATGCAATGACACCCTTACCCATTTGACGACTTGCATGGAAACAGCTCTTACTAAGGTTCAGAGCAGGGGATTTCATTGAAAATTTCCTGAAAACACCTATATATATGTATTGGTTATGACACACTGAAAATTTCAAGGCGATGCTTAGCATGGCGTCCCGTCTGCAGACGCACGAAGTTCGGGACTTTTTGGTGGCCACGCGGTATTACCTCTCTCGAGTTCAACCCTTCCCTTCAATCAGGGCCTTGGATGCATCAGAACTATCTTGCTCATGAAGATGCTGTTCTCCAGTGAAAATGCATTTTATTATCAAACTTTTGTATTCTTCGGTTTTTAATCTGTTGACTTCTTGAAATGAAACAGGTTTTTCATTATTAGTTCCTTGACGTAGTGGGTGGCACAAAGAAGTAATTTATCTAGTTTTTGCACTTCATGAAACCAACCAAAAATACTAGGTTTTTTGTGTTTTATATTTCTTGCAGAGACATAATATTCTGCAGTATTTTCCCTGAAATTTTAACGTTTCAGGAAGTTTTAATAAATAGCAACATTCATTTAAACTTTTCCCCCCAAACATAAAAAATACTGATTCTTTGGTGTGATTTCAGCACAGCTTGAGCTAGACTGAACACTCCTTTGATGCTATGAGTCTTTTCTCATGGCTGCATTCTTGACTGTACCCCGTCTTCAAACTTCGAAAACGAAAGCTTATGTTGGGTGATTTGAGCAGAGAGAAGAGTCAGCTTCTAATGAAATCATGAACTCGGTGTAGCCTCTTCCCAGTCTTGCCCTTCATTTAAAATCAGACAAGGACTTTGGATATTCTGAGAGATCCTCAGCAATGAGAGTTAATAAAACAATTCCTCATTTCAGAGTAGGGAACCTACATTTTGCCCCCAGAAGACCCAACACATTACAACAGCCAAATGCATTCACTATTAAGAGCTGAATTTCCAGGTCAATTGATTTATCAACTTGACCTAAAAAGTCACTTGACTCCCCTAGACTTCTTTCTTTGGGAAACAAATGACAAAATTGTGCATGCAAAGGAACTGACAAGCACAGGAGATATTGAAGACAGTGATCAATGCTGAAATCAACACATTCTGTAGAAATGTTGCAGAAAGTGTGTTATTCAATCCTGAATTCATGCCAGTAATATATAGCCCAAAGCAGAGAGCACTTTGAGTATCTTGGGAATTATAATTGCAAGATCATTAGGGGAAATAAAATGAACTTTTCTGTGTAGGATGTGCTTCTCTCTGCTCACCCTGCCCATATCAAATGTAGTTGCTATTACTATGTAGCAAACAGGAGCTGAAAACTCTTGCTACAGAATGTTGAGTTTTTTTTTAATTTTTCATGAATTCCTATGCTTAGCTTAAGTTTAGCTAATTTTTTTTATTTTTGTATGCTAATATCTATATTGTTTGTATGAAGACATTACCCTAGGTCTACAGGAAACATTACGAAACTGATGCAGGGTCAACAGGACTTCATGATTCTACTCATTGAAGATGAAATAAACCAATGACTGAATTTTCACACAGCTAGTACTGTACAGGCATCCCATGAAGTATGGATGGACTTCTCTCACATGAGGTGATGGGTGCCACAGCTATGCAGGTGAAATTTGGTGATTATATTCTTGTCTGTGTTAGGGCATTTCCTCACCATGTTGCAAAATGCAAGGCTCAAAATAACAATTTCTGCTTATTTATCAAGGGGTCTCTTCATAATATCCAAAAATTGCGTCAATATCTGGGACTCTAAGGAAGTATTAGGTCTGGGAAAAAGTATCCGGAACTTTTTTTGGGTTAGGCTTGTCATCACAAGGAAGACCCGATGTTTGGCCGGATCATCACGTCAGATGAGAAGTGGGTTCTGTGGAACAACCAACGAAGATCATACTCTTGGCTGGACCCTGATGAACCCCCCGAGCAAAATGCCGAAACCCGGCCTACACCCAAAGAAGGTCCTTCTGTGCATTTGGTGGGCCCGATTCAGGGTAGTGCACTACGAGCTACTCAAGACCGGCCAGTCCATCAACGCGGACGTCTACTGCACACAACTACAGCGCGTCCATGAAACCCTGCTTAAATCTCGGGCCACATTGGTCAATCGAAAAAAAGGTCCTCTTCTTGCACGACAACGCAAGACCACACGTCGCCAAAAAGACCCAGGAAAAATTGAAGAGCCTCGACTGGCAAGTTCTGCCGCATCCACCGTATTCACCGGACGTTGTACCATCGGACTACTACCTATTCAGGTTGCTGGACAACTTTATGTGCAAGAAGCAGTTCTCGAACGAAGGTGCACTCAAAAACGCACTTTATGGTTTCTTTGGCTCACGAGATGCGGTGTTTTGGAAGAGAGGAATCAATTCTCTTAAGGAAAGATGGGAAAAAGTTCTAGATTGTGAGGGAGATTATTTTGATTGATAAAGTTTGTTGCATAAAGTTACAGCTTATCAAAGATATGGGTCAAAAAGTTCCGGATACTTTTTCCCAGACCTAATACAACAGCTCCTTCATGAATGGATCTTGGGTCATGGCTCCAATTGTTTTTAAAATTTCTTGGGAGCACAAGGTATGAAATGTCATTTTTGTATTTATCAGAGTTTTCAAACATGAATGGTGTGAAATCCTTCCAGAACGTGTGGATGGCATTGTTGGTATTGGTCCAGTTCCAGACAGGTATAAAGCAGCATAAAGAAATAGAAATTAAGTATCACTGAGTTTAATTTCAAACTATAATTTGTCTTAGTTGTGAACTTTCAAATCAGCATACCATTCTGCAGACCATGGGGAAAGAAAAATCAAATCCTTCATTTCCATCAGTTGTTGTTATCAAAACTGACCAGAGGTTATCAGTGAAGTATAAAATATAACAATGATACATGAAAGAGATCAATAGTCATCAGCTTCAACAACAATGCCTTCATCAGAAGCAGTAGAAGCTTGAAAGGTTTCAGCCCATTTCTCTGAAGGAATTTGCCAGCCCTGCTTCTCAGCTTCAGTTCCTTGCACCACTAATGCGTAACAAGCATTCTCCATCTTCTCCACACTTTGTGTCAATGTGGTGAATTTCCTAGATACTTCCCTTGGGCCTCGGTTTCCAACCAGGATGAAGCTCTTGTGGAGTTCCTGCACAACACCACAGAGGCCAAGACAAGCATCTCGGTCACCTGCCCTGTTGATGCAGTGGCGCATGATCTCTCCAGTGAGATCTGCTATTCCCAGCAGGTAGTCGTGGGGGGATATTAGTACTGAAATGCTTCTCCCATCATCCTCAGTGAATACTAGATCATTCTGAATGTTTGAACATGATGGGATCTTATGGTCTTTCAAGAAATTATAGAATGTAACTGCCTCCACAAATTCCTGGAGACCTGCAATAAGGAAAAAGATAAGAACTCAATAAATTAGATTCTTGCAAAAGAGAGAAGCAAGGAAAATATATCCCTCATTCTGCTTGCAAAAAAAAAAAAGGTTTCTCCTTTTTCTATGAATACCAGATATTCTTCCTGTTCCTTATCATCTGGTCCTGGGCCTTGTCAGCACTGTATAAAATTAATGATCAGGAATACTTGTGCAACTGAATTTCCTCATTATATTGGAGTTTTCTATTATTGTAACACATTGCATCAATATCAGAGTCCTTGGGATGAATCTTTTGCTTGCTATTACCTTGTTGTAAGAGACTTTAATGGAATTTAGTTTAATTGTACATGGGGTGTCTGAAAAGTTTCCACAAATATCTAATAAAAACAACCCTTGTTTTCATCACTACCAAAATTGGTACACAGAAACATCACACTTCCCTTAGCCCTGAAAATAGTCACTGTTTGACTCTAAAGGGTGTTTCAAAAGTAACTGTGCAGTAGAGACATAGCCAGTGTTATCTAGAAAGTCATTCTGAAAAACATACTCATGGTTAGTGATCAAATGCAAAAAAAAACACAAAACAGATCAGTGGTAACAGAAGAACATTTTGAACTGATATTCATGAACAGTTCAACAGCAAATCCTTAGCAATTGCTGAAAACATGAAATAGCTATTTTGATTCAATGCACAGTAACTTTTGAAACACCCTGTATGCACTTTTGCATTCTGGAGGGCAATGACTATGCACCCATTCCATAGAAGCCTGTATCTTGCTATTCAAAACAATGCAAGTTATTGCCAATTTTCATGGACTGTTGCCAGCCACCCATGATAGAGCTCAGACACAGTCCATTTCAACTATCAGTTTGGTCAGTGGAAGGACCAACTTCATGGAATATGCTTCATCAGTGGTGAAGATCTTCAAAATTGTATAAGACAGTGCCTACAATGATAAGATACAGTCTTCTACAGAAGGGGTAAATAATTGTTGCTCTCCAGATGGCAGAAGTACATAGATTCAAACAGTGATTACTATGAGGGCTAAGGGAGGTATGATGTTTCTATGCATCAATTTTGGTAGAGATAAAAACAATGGTTTGGTTTTTATTAGATTTTTGTGGAAATTTTTTGGACACCCCTTGTACATGAGAATTAAAAAAAATATGCTTCAGCTAGTCTTACCAGAAGTAAATGCTCTGTGGAAATGCCAAGGATCCTCTCCTTCAAGTTCCAGAGCCAAGGATCTGAATAAGTTCTTTCTCAGGGTTGCCAATCTTTCTTCAGCTTCTGACAGGATTCCTTCTGGCTTCTCAGTTCTATAGAAGGAACATTCTTACATGCAAGAATCATAGGAGAAATCTGGATGAATTCTGTAGAGCCTGTTCATGCCTATCATCCAAAGATGCAGATAATTCAATATAAAAAATTGCCTCTCCTTTGGTCCAGATAATCCTTGATACAGGAAAATGAAATTATGGTAGCAAGTAAAAACTCAAGCAGGAGGAAAGCTTCCATGCCCCCTCCCCCCATTAGTCATCTGGTTATCAGCATTGGTTCAAAGGATCCTATTGTAACTTGTGAAATTCAGAACCATTATCAAGCAAGTACCCAGAAACCCCTTCAATAAAGAGTTACAAATGTCTTACTTTGCCAGCCGATGCAGGAGAAAGATGATTCGCTTGCTCTCAATGGTTGTATCCCTAGAGAGCTTTACTATTCGTTCATACTTGTCATGATACATGTCCAGTTTCTTTCCCAGTTCACTGAACATCTTCACAATTGGACTGTTTGGGGATGGAGTAGAATGGAATTTTGGGTCTGAAGACTTGGCATGAATGTTCCTTCCACCGGGTCGTTGTCGTTTCCATTGACCGGCAGATGACTCTGGGGAAGGATAAGAACGTTTCTCACCTGAAGTCATGGAAGGAATACACCAGAGAATGGAGCAATTTTGGGTTAATTGATCTTGCTCATAGGGAAGACCTCTATACAACAGAATCAGACTTACCTTTGTCTCCCTGTTCCATCTCCAGAATTTTCTATAATTCTGATTTGGGAAACATGAGAAGATATATATGACTTCCATCAGAGTCACACTAGCCAGTCAACTGTAGAGATTCAAAGATAAACAAAACTGCAATGCCAGCTGCGATGCAGCCTTGGATGCAAGTCCAACTCTGCATGGGTAATTCAAAATTCCATTTTGCAGAACTTCACATGTTCTGCAACAATGGTTGAGACTTCTCATGGAGAAAACATATATTTATAGAAAGTCCTTTGAAGTGGGATCACAGCCTTTCATCATCATGGGAAACAATTGAAAAGCAAGGTAAAGTCTCAGTGATCAAACAGGAATTGAATACTGGCATCTCTTGACAAGGTGTGAGAAATTCAATGCATCAAGTTTCTGAATGCAAATGCTTATAGCCAATTGAGAAAAAAGTGAAGAACAGATCAATCAAAAAGATTTTAAATATAATTTTGGTGATTCATTGAGAAACTTAATGCAATTTCTTTGCAATAAATAATAATAAACAAAAAACCCAAAAAGAAAATAGAAGCCCCTGCTAAATACAACAATCTGGAGACAGATTGTTCCATAAATTATGATTCCTCTTTCCATAAGTTCCATAACAAAAGCTTTACTTAATTTCTTGAAATCTTTATAATTTTTAAAATCTCAGGAAAAAAAAACATTGACTGGGAACTTTGAGATCATAGGTAAAGGAACAAAGGAAGAGATGACATTCTTCACTGATGCATTGGTTCTTCATAGGTGTGTCTTGACATGTGTCATGTTCTCAGAACACTCCTAAACTGCTCCAGATGATAGATGCTGCTTGAAAGCCTACAGAGATTAGAACAAAATTCCAATTCCATTCATTAAAAAATTGACAGCATGGCTATTAGTATTAGTGATTGCCCTCACCTTCCAAAAGCATTGACAAGGGCAACAACTTCATTGCGAGAGAGCTGAAACTTGGCCTTCTTCATCTCAGGCAGAGTGAAAGCTTCGTGGCTGTTGATACTCCCAGAAAACAAGATCTTTAGGGCAGTCCCCAACCCATGAATCTGGTGTAGAATAGATGAAGGGTTTCACACTTACAATAATACTTAATATTGCTGGAAAATGTATAGGAGGAGATGTGTCTAGATTGTGGCATTGTGAAGAAGCAGATAGAAAGAAAATAGTAAAAAAGTGAAGACTAACAAACAAAAAATTTGGTAGAATGGTACAATGACCTAAATTGAAATCATAAATAGAACAGATACAGAAATAAAGCATTTGTTTTGTAGTTTTTACATTCTGTTACCTGTAGCAACAATCTCTTTCTTAAGGAATAGGAGTTGCTCAGGTTTCATGGCAAAGTTTTGACATGACCAGAGGGATGGATATTTTAGAACTTTCTTCTATTTTTCCACAGAAAAAGACAGGACACCTAGTTACAAAAAAAAAGAACCATACTGAAGTTGTCACTGGAACAAAACAGTGAATAGAATGTAAGATAGAATAGATATGCCCAAGCCTGAAACCAAATATTTCAATTGCTCTAATGCTCTGATCCATTGGCTAACCTGGAGTTTGCCCCACAGCTTGCACTTGTCACAGCCAACACAATCCATGATGCGGGTGATGTTCATGAAGCGTTTCCGAAATTCCCCCTTCAGAGTCTGAGTTTCCTCATCATCACCAACAAACATGGACAACTCATTGAAATGGTTCGGGAAGGATCTATATTTCACAGAAATGGATGAAGAAAACCTTTAAATGTGAAATCCAAGCATGTATGCTCTATCATGTGTTGCTGGTGCTATTTGCAACCCTCCTATATAACTTAGGACAATTTTGAGGTTCTCTGAGTACATGAAGCCCATCCTGGTGCATGGAATAAAACTTGATGCAAATGATAAACAAGCACCAATAGGTGCTATCTTTTACCTCCAAAAAATCTTATTTTCATCCCCTGCACACATGAGTTAAGATAGCCAAGCATTTTCTGCTCTATTACAAATGATACTAATTTGCTCGATTTCCACATAAAATCTATAAAAATGTGCTTAAGATGTTTCCTATTAATTACAATAGTCATTTAGGAACAGACTTGATAACTCTGAGGATATCCTGGACAGCCCGGCCCACATCTTCATCCTCCTTCTTCCCAGTGAAAAAGTCAAATTCCTCCAAGTAAGGGGCAGCCTTAGCCAAGGCTCTCAACTCCAAGAGGTAGAGGAAATAAAGATTCCGCAGCCTCTGGGGTCCCTGGCCATTGGTCTTCTCAGGATCAAATCGTTTCTGGAACTCCCGGAGATTTGGACCCCACTTTTTCCCTGCTGTTCCAAGAGTCAGCTTAGACTCTTCCCCTGGAAAATAAAAATCAAAACTCAGGCAAAGTAAATTAAAAATATAAAAAGATGGAGCCGGACATGAGAAGACTCACCATTGAGCAAGTAATTGGCAGACAAATGTACATTGATGCTGGAGTGAAGGCCAGATACAGCTCGATAAAAGACACGTCTCTCCAAGCACACACCTTCAACATACAATTTGTTTCTGCTTAGGCTATCTAATCTCTTGATATATCTTCACCATTATTTTAAAAAATTAAGTGTGAAACCAACCTTGCAAATCATTGGGATCAAACGGATTTAGGGATGCCACCATCCTAAAATAGAAGTTGCAAAATGGCACTTAGGGGTCATGAATGTATTCGTTTAAAAAATGAAAAAATATGCACTGACTTGAAACAATTCTCCTCATAGATACTTTTCCAGATGCGCCATGCTGATTCCCCTTTATATCCTGTGTACCGTTCAGGGTTCAGGCGCAGATCCACAAATTCCATGCTTTCCTCAATCCCGTCACCAATGTCGCAGAAGCTCTCAGCTGCTGCATCATATGCCTTCCACTTTTTCATGGCTTCTGAAGTCTCATCACTATTAATAATGCCAACCAAGCAAGTGAGAAGGATATTATATTGTCATTCTAGCCTTCATCTTCAACACATTTCTCACCTGATGGTTTTGTTCAGAAACCCCAATGAATCATCACAGTCTTCTCCGGTGTGTAATTGAGCAGCTTCTGAATACTATACATATAGTAAATGACATATCTTCACTCAAGAATCATTAAATATTGTGTGTAAATGAGTCTCTTGACCAACCTTGAGATGAGGAGCTTCAAACTCTCTTTCCTGGTGATCATATTCATTACGGACTCCAATTGGCAAATCCTCCTATAAAAGAAGCAAATTTCACATTCAAGATCAGGAAATAGACTAGAAAAAAAAATTGTATGTACCCACTTATACTATCTATGTGGCTAAATTTTTCATGCAAAAAAAAAACTTTTCTCATCCACCAGTGGTAGTTCTGGATAATTTGATTCTATGTGGAATCATGGAACAATTCAAGTTCTACTTCAAAGTCTTACTTTCCTCTGTTACTATCAACATGCCCCTATCTTGCATTTTAGTCAGGTCTTTGATTTTACAAAATTGCTGTTATTAATAGCTCAGAGTAACATTTACAGAACGTGCTGGTTTTATATTTTACATATCAAAATACACATGACTTGAAATCACATGAAAAGACAATAATTGAAAATATATCAACAACAGACCTTTAGCACTTATATTTGAGACTACATTTCTTCAGAAACTGATAGAGCAGTCTGGATTTTATTTATTTCAGGATTATAACCATGATCTGAAATGCTTATTGCAAATGAAGATATTTGCCTTAATATGTCGGCTGATCTTGGCCTATTTTATTCAAATGCCTGCCTGTTTAAATCGATTCAACTATGAGGGAAGTTATTCACTTTAAAAGGCCAACATTGTTTTAAAATAGGGCAAATTATGAACTTTTGAATATTCTTGTTGATTTCCAAGCATCACTCTCATTGCAAATGATAGCTTCCGACAGAAAAGTTTAAAACCACAAATATGACTCACACACTAAAGCACATGAATATATTCCTGATTTCAAGCAACAAATTTTTTTGAGTCATGTTTGATGTCTACCCGAGGAAAATCTGCCAACCCAGAAACAAGTGTTCAGCACAATAACAAGGAAAGTGAAAACTTTAACTCACCGGAGGGCATGCTTTCACATGACAATCCTTCAAGGAGCACTTCATATTGTCAGCCCAGAACGGACAGGGTCTTTTCAAATTCACCTGGAAATTAAACCAAAACATGAAAATAATTGAAAATGCAGTCTTACTGAACAAGAAAGAGAGGAGGATGAAAACGCACCTGATAGTATCTGAAGTAGTCATTTTCCAGCAAACTCATCAGTCTGGGAAAGAGCTTGACATTGTTGAAGTAGTCCACTGTGTCCACGGAGCACTGACAATCGTCGATCTGACCTTGAAGCTGCAAAAATCCAAATAAAGAGTTTACAGTACACCTTCCGTGCACAAAAAAGTCAATTAGCCCCCTGCGCGAGCCTCACTTCATCGAATCGGAAATCAGCATCGAGGCGCCGGAAGACGGCAAGAAAAATGGCACATAAGAGAGAATTCATCCTGGAAGGCACCACCCGAATTCACATGTCAGATGCTCCCGTGAGGTTAGTACCTCCGCGACTGACACAGCCACTCATTATAACGTGTCACGTGGAGGAACCGCATTTGCGAACGGAAAGGTGTTCCCCCCTCCGACGGGCGGGGCCTCGATCGTTGTCATGGACACCCATCCACAACTGAATTATTGCTTCCCGCATGGCTGCAGCATTACCGCATTCAATGTTCGTATTAAAATTCCGCCGCCGATGAGAAATTTATATTTCGGGGCGCTTCTTTTTCATTTTACTTTCTCGTATCGAAGAACGAGATCGGAAGCAACGGTGCGAGTTCCCGAGAGAGAAAGCCGTTTTTCCGGCTGCATTCCCCGATGCGATCGTGAAGGCCGTTCCAGCCATCCGATGCCTTACATTGCCACGTATGAAATCTGATGGGAGGAGCCAGGTTATCGTATTAGAGGGAAGCCCCAGAAGGAGACTCATCGGTGGAAAACACGATCCACATCCCCGCAATGGGATTCCAGACGGCCAAATGGGAATAAACACACCTGGTTACTTCCCGAGCAGACTCATGAAATTACAGACTGGGTCCTTTTTTCTTCCACGGGTGAGAGTACACTGCTTCGAAACTACATCTCTTCCTCCCCCTCCCTCCACAAAACACAACATAAAAAATAGCGGTGGATTTGCAGCGGACGGGACAGACTCTTCCAACTCAAGTTTTGTACAGGGTGTCCCATAAGTCACTATACCATCTCAAACTGCAATATTTTCCAAACTGCAACAACCAGGTCACTTTGCTTAGCATTAATGGAAAGAACGTTCTCTAGAATTTTTTTTTTCCCCATAATAACTTGGAATCAGATTCAATCATAAATTGCTTCAAAAGCACATCAGGAAGGTGTACGTCTTGAAGGCGATTTATGGTAAACCTTGTTGAATCCTCTTCTACAAAAATTCCTAAACTTCATATTTTTCTCTCCAAATTCCAGGTAGACCTGAGAAACAGAGAAAATAATTTCCTCTAATTGGCTTTCGCTCTCATGAGAGAAGGCTTCACTATTGACGCTTGAACAACGAAGGAATGTTGCTACCTGGAGGGAGGTCTCTGAGTGTCCCATCAGAGTCCAAAGGGAGTTTCGGCAATGTTTTGGTGGTGGGCCTCAAGCCAAATTTATTGATAAAGGCGGAAGGAATTTGAGGCACTTTCAAACTTCAGAAATACCTCCGTTTTTGACAAAAAATAATTCCAAATGGCATGCTATCGTTCAGTTAATGTTACTTCTTTTTTGTGCCAACTGTTTCATAGATGTGAATTTTTGAAACGGTATAGTAACTTATGGGACACCCTGTATACTGAATCAAAGGAAATGAAAAACGTGTTCCAACGACATAAAATTCACCGTGCATGTAGAATGAATTTTAAATAATTAACGATGAAGAAAGCTACATACACGCAATAAGCTCGAGGAGCTTTCCTTTGGAATGTATTTCCAGTGCATTTCATCAACGCATATGCGAAGCTCCCCGGAAGCTTCAAAGGTAAAGAAAAGGAAAAAAAAAACACTTGGGGCCCATTTCATGGAATTTACAAGCTATACAAGTTACAAGTTACTAGTAATTACAAGGGTCGTGTCGTAGTTGTACGAAAGGCCAGCGGGACCAGCTGGAAGAGTTAAACAAGGAGACACGACCCTTGCAATTACTTGTAACTTGTAACTTGTAGAACTTGTAAATTCCTTGAAACAGGCCCCTGGAGTTCGGGGTCCCTCCATCCCGCGACTGTGGCTTTGCCGCTCTAAGCGCGCAGCAAGTCGATGCTCATTTATCATTCCGAAGGTTTATCGGCTTTCTTCCGCAGGAATCGCGAAGGACGTCATCCCTCGCAAATGATTAATATATGCGTTGACACTTTTTGGGGGGGTATTCTCATACCGAAGACGTCGGATTCCAAGGAAAATTCCTGGAGGCATAACCCTACACGAATCGCATGTTGGCGATTGCATTTCTTTCATATCGGGGGATTCGGAATACGAGTACTTTTCAATTTCTTGATGCCGAGTCACTGGTAAATCTACCACAGTAGATAGTCCAGTATGAAATAAAAAGGGGGAACGAATCAGTCGGTCTACTTTCCTCACAAGGCTCATCAAAGTGTGAATCTTAATGAGCTGCTCCATTGTCAACCTCGAGATGCATCACCCGCCTGACGAAATTATCGTTAAAGCATCACCGATAAGGCGCACTCCGCAGCCGCAAAAACCATTCCAAGCTCCGCGTCCCGATGCTCGTCCTTCCATAGAATTTGCTAGGGCATGCAAGAGCATTATCAAAATGGAAGGGTCCAAAGGAATGCATTTCGCTGAGTCGAGTCGGTGGAGCGCGTACTGCGACACACACCGTGCTTCTAAAAGCCATAAGGTGCTGCCACGAAATCTAAATAAAAAAATAAAAGTTTGCTTAAAGTGAACCGTGAAGGCCACGTGTTCCCCATGTCTCATGGCGAGGGAGCACCTCAAAGTTCTCCAAGTCTAAAATATTCATTGTGGCTCCGAAGCCTGCATAAATCATTCATGTGTTACAGAGTGACGGTTTCCCACCGAAAAAAAGCAGATCAATTCGGCACCACCTACGCCACCACCTCTCAAATCCGTTCGTATGGAATGAATCGACACAGAGAGATCGTTATTCAGTCGTTGCCGAAGGAAATTCTCCGATGCGATGCCGCTGGAAACTGGAATGCCGATTACAAAACTCGTAGAAGTGAGGCCGAAAATGCCGAGTTCGGCATGCTCTTGAGTCATTTCGATTTGTGATCTGGAGATCCATGAGGAATCAAAATTTGGCCTTGGGACATTTGATAAGTCATTTGTCTAAATCAACACATTTCAAATACCAGGTAAGTAATAAAAAAAAACGTGCCACTGCTTGAAATACTGTGGCGTTCATAAGACAACAGATGGCTCAAAAATGCTTTCTTCGGAAAAAAAGGTACTTCTATCCTCTTAACATCCTAAAATTCTCGCCCGTTCATCTCTGGCCGTTCAACCAGAGAGATTTTACAAAAACAACTCGAATTTAATTTTTGCGCGAGGAAAGGTATCGGCAAGAAAGTGATTAACGCACATTTCGCACCTATTTCAAGGCCGTTTCACACTTTGCGTCACTTGCATGTGACGCGTGCGACATAGCAAAGCACGCAGGAAGCTCAAAGTTTTCATGCTTACATGCGGTGCATTCGAAATATGCATGCGCGCGGACGTCCCGCATCAAGCTGATACCAATTTCACAAGCGAGCCTCGCGTTTTGATAAAACCCTTGGATGTAAACCGACGTGCGCGCGTGCGCCTGCCTACTCGCTCGAGCATCGGCGCAAGGGACGTGAGACACGCCCCAAAGACTACTGCTCCACGGGTCTGTCCGCGGAAACAGTGTCCTTCGCGGAAGTTGATCCAGAAAAAGTTTTTTGATACAAGATGGTTAAGAACTGTGCACGAATTTCCAAACAGATGGAAGACACATCTTTAATCGACCGATTCACAAGATGAGAGAAACTGGTTCATCCATATACATCGAGTTCAACGGATTCTGCAGAGCAAAAGAGAGCCTTTCGAAGTACCGCAAATCCAAAGGTCAGCGTCGCAGTGTATACAATCCGAGTTGTGTTTGTAAAATCGATCTCGTGGTAAAACAACGAAAGGCAATCGGAGGAAAACTTGAGGCTGCCTAGTAAATAAATAGAAGCAATAACGGAAAAGAACTTTTCTTCGTATCTGCAGTCTCATAACCACCAAAGAATTTGGAAGAGCGGCGCTTTCTCATGCCTCACTCGATATAGTTGATGGCACAGAGAAGGTCGACAAAGGCAGGAGACAGAGAAATTGTGCTGAGTAACACAAAATGAGATCATACCATTTACAACCCTAGCGGGATAATCATATAACCGTGCCTTTGTGTAATAATGTACACGCAAAGAAACTAGAATCAAGCTTCAATGAACTAAATTGGATGGGGACATTTAAATGCAGACAGAACTTTTATAACCGGATGCAAGCTATATTTTGATGGGATTTCCCTTAATGTTTTCAAAGTCAATTGACCAGATTCTGAATCGTGAGTGGAAGGCGCTCTCATTACTAAGGCAACCTAAAAGCAAAACGATCACTTGTCATCACACTCATGTCAAGAAACTCCACGATATTACATCGGTCATCGGTTTCTACCAATATTTGGAAGATATATTATATCGGCCGGTATACGAGTTTCCAATAACCGATGCGGATGACTCAGTAAGGCTGAGGATCATGCTGGATGATGGTACCAGCATTTAAAAAGATCACAAACAAGCTTACTTTCTCCTTTGATTACCTAGTGGCTCTGTTAACAGGGAACCTCGTCGAATCATCTGACTCAAAATCAATGAATGACTTTAAGTAATGTTGAAAGCAGATGCAAATTTTAAAAAATCTGATGGCGAGTTATGTTCGTACTTAAAAATGCGTTTGGAGGGCATTGGGTAGTAGGAGCCTTTCCCAAAAATATTCCGTCGTTTACGATGAAGTTTGCGAGATTTTATAACGAGTAACGAAGGAGATAGAAGATTCTGTTTTAAGATAGCGTTCAGCGTTATGATTAAAAATGAAAAGAATGTCGCCGCCACCTTTTCTTACTAAAAAAAAAAAAACACGTATCTCTTATTTCCAAGATGGTAAGCATTGGGAGGGCATGGCCTTGGCAATGAATAAACTGAGCGTCTCCATGGGCACCATGCATGGATGGGAAATCGATTATTCCATTCATGGGAGACTCATCATTTCAAGGGGGAGGAGGGGTGGGTGTGATGGCAAAGGCCGAAGAGGCCTTTCCCACTGGCACTTAGGCTTTTTACATTGATGACGGTTTTCAGGGCTCGCAATGCATCGGCAAACACAAACGGAAAAGGTCGGAATCAAAATGTGCAGGCGTGGGAATGCTTATGGGACTCCACAGAGCTGGAGCCCTAAACGGGCTGCGGATCGGCTCGATTTGCCCTGCCCGACCCAAATTCCGAAGGATAAT